CAATTGGAGAAGTTCCTCTCTGCTATATTGTATGGCAGAGTAGGTGCGGTCGGCTAGCATGTTGCGAACCATGTTAAAAGTAAAACGGCAAAAGTAAAAAAAATATGTACAAAATACGAAAATGGGCAAAGTTAGAGAGGAGCACATAGACGATGCGGCCATCTTCATCGGCGCATCACATAAAGTTTAAGATTAAGCACATTCTTGCGAACTCCTCCTAGGGGAATGATCGGAAAAATTCCAATCCAGGACAAGTTCAGCCCCTATCCAATATGATACTTAATTGCGGAGCACATATTTGAAAAATCCCTCGTGGAGGTCGTAAGCTAACAGCGAATACACAATTTTTGACGATTTACATGTCGCAAATTACTCCAAACTACTCGGATATAGTTTTGCCGATATTCACGAAACGCTGTATGCACATTGCTATTATGATTGCACACATATTTTAAATTGCTTTTCATTAGCCCCGCCCCCCAGAAAGTCGGCAATTTTGAAAAATATGCGTTTTTCATGCATTTTAAGCACATTTTTCCTAATTCGTCATAGGGAAATGATCGGAAAAATTCCAATCTAGGGCAACTTAAGCGCATATCCAATGTGATGCTACATTGTGAAGGAATAGTTGATCGCTTCAACATGGAGCTCGTAAGCTAACGGAGAATGTACCATTTTTTACCATTTATATGTCAGATACTACCTTAAGCGACTGAGACCCGCCTGTCTGCCCGGCACATCAACTCTCACACAAACACACAAACAGACACACAAACACACACACACACACACACACACACACACACACACACACACACACACACACACACACTCACCTACTGTTTGTCCAACAACGCCCTTTGCTGGCGGCATATTCATTACAACAGACACCTATACACTCCATAACCCTAACCCTACTGTTTATTTGTAGATATCCTAAAGCCTACAAATAAAGTGTGAAAAGTAGGCCTGTTACATATATTATTGAGCGATATATATTATACACACTGTTCTGCTTTCTGCACTGACCTCAGCAGCTGTTCTCACTGTAAACATGGCGTCACAATGAAAGCAGTTGTATAATAAATAGCATAACATCCAGGGGAGATATGATTAGTGAGTAAACAAACGGTAAAGGGCAGAAAGTCTGATGCACATTTGATCATCTTAAATAACTTATAATCACAACGGGAACAGTTTGCAGAGCTGTGCTTCCTTGACATAAGTGAGAATACATCAGTGTACCCTCGGTTATAACTCCTCCAGAGAGACTCCTCTCTCCTCTCTCCTCTACATCTTTGTACCCTCGGTTATAGCTCCTCCAGAGAGACTCCTCTCTCCTCTCTCCTCTCTCCTCTAAATCAGTGTATCCTCGGTTACGGCACCTCCAGACAGCCTCCTCGATAATCGATCGTCGACGAGCCTTTAGAGAAATTTGTTTTCCTTCGAGACGGCGTGCCGACATCCGTTTCCGGGTCGCTGCCGGAAGACCTGGTAGTCTGGGACGTGAAAATTATAGAAATGACAAACGGCTCATTTCCAAGGACTCGCGTGCGTCTGCTTGACGCCGGGACGACCAGCCGCCCTCCCCGACAGGCGCACGGACGCGAGGGCCCGCTCATCACTGCGCGCACTTCTGCGACCGCAGTTTTAATTATTATTATTTATGCAATGAATAATGATGCATATAAATGTTGAGTTCCCTAAAAATAGAGAACCAATTACTTTCTTTTAAGATAACAGGAAATCATTTTCCTGTTATATATTTACTATTTGCTTATTATCAACGCAATAGTTTTTCTTACCCAATTTCTTGATTAATTGGTAGAATAATCAGCTACAACCCCAATTCTGACGGAATAGTCAATACAGGTAATATTATGACGAATAAAAACATGTTTTTGGCTAACGGAGTAGAAGACATTCATTAAGTCCACCTTCACGGCCTGTAATCACTAATCAAGTGTATTTCTGCATAGCCTCTGATAAACATGCACGAAAAACCTTGTTCAGTTGTGCCACGCATAAACTGACATCCAAGTATGTTCAATTGGTTAGTGTGAAATATGTTTAATTTTCACTCACCACAATCCAAAAAGGATTTGAAGGTCAGTTGCCCCTCGTAGCAAATGTACGTCTGATGATCCCTGTACTTGACCCTTACAACAAAAATAGTTAATTTGAATAGCATTATTACAATCATTACACAGCAAGTTAAACAGTTACAAGCTATACAGTAAAAAACAACAATACAACAGTAATAATATGCAATAATTTCCTACCATTACACGTGGGATGAATATTGTCCTTAAACTGCTGATGGTGCTGTACACTGTAGTAGTAGGCCTAAGCCTATTTTTAAATTGTAGCTAGCTGTGTTGTTTCTCAATACCTTTACCTTCCAAACATTAATTTAACCAGTAAAATAAGCTTACCTGGCATGTTATCCCAAATAGGTCTTCTGTGAATTTGTTCTGCTCTTCCTCCGTCTGCTTTGTCAAGTATGCGAGAGACTTGTAATGGCGGCAGAAGTGAAACTTAAAGTGGACCTATCATGCTATATTTGAATAATATAGTGTAGGACCATACCTATATAAGGCATATTTATACTTTTTTTTTTTCAAAATACCAAACAGATCATGCATTTTAGCCATGCCTGATTTTGCTCAATTTGCACTTTTTTATCCCTGTTTTAGCAAGGGCAGATTCAGTGAGAACAGCACCATCTACTGGCCTGGCATATGTACTGCAGCGTCTCCAGCGCTTTCGAACGACAATGGCCGTGGTTGTCTCCTCCTGATTGGTGGAGTTGGCCCAATAGCTGTAGCGCCACTGTCCTGACGTCAGGACAGTGTTCAAATCTGGATCAGTTTTGATCAGATCCGTTGCAGCCCCTTTTTTAGAGATTTGGGTATGGAGGAAAATAGAGAGGGTTGTGTTTTCTGACACTTGGTGAGTTCCCTGGAACACCGGGGACACATATTCATGTATAAAAGACGTACAAAAGTGCATTTTGCATGATAGGTCCCATTTAAGGAAGATGTGGTCATGGTTTAACTCCAATAGAATTGTCTCTGCATTTTTGATCGCACTCTAGAAGCTATGAGTAATAAATACACTCAAATGATTAAATATGACTATTTCAGAGCAAAATAGTAATTATTCTGGACCTGCGAGAATCAACAGACCCAGGTATGTCTTCAGGTCTATTTCGTGCATCTCCCTCCACTTGTTGCCGTACACACGTCACCCCTCCTTGTTGGTCATATCAAGCACTATCTTTTCAACTTGCTCTGGCAGAAACAGCTCAAAAGTGGACTTAAGGCCGTACGTACACTGCACGGCTCCTCTCTCTCTCTCCGCTCCTAACCTGCCTCAATTGTCAATTGGGAGGGATGGAAATCCAGAGCAAACTTCCATGCTTTCACTGGAAACATTCTTCCATCTCAGCAGGTTGCTCTTCCTCATCAGTTGATTCTTCTACCTCAGTTGAAACCTGATCCTGATTCTGCTCAGTGTTGTCCTCTGATTTTAACACTCCTTCCGTAGAGGAAGGAGTGTCAAAATCAGAGGACAACTGCAGTCTGCAGGTTCCTCCAGGTCTCTCTCCTCCTCAACAGGGTTACAAATTATTTCAAGAGCCTCCATTGTGCTGTCTCAGACTAAAATATAATATATGTGTGTGTTTTCTGGAAACTCTGATCCCCATGTAGTGATGAAATCAGGTCTACACACCTGTAGCTTGAACATTCTATGTGCGTGTGCATGCTTGCTAGGTGTGTGTTTATGCATTTGAATCTGCTGGAAAGCACAAATACTTTGAACAACTACAATTTCACCACAGTTACCCGGGAAGACCAAAGGTGCTACAAATTTGAATAAATAACCCATAATTCAACGGAAGTAGTGGTAGAACATAGTATGGAACCATCCATGTTATGTTTGTGGCAATCAGATGTAATAACTAGGGCTGCACCTAAAATACTTAGTCCGTGCGATGTGCTGTGACTTGTGACTTTTCTACATGTAACGTTTAATTTATATTTCAAAGGTTCATTATTACAGTTTTTTTTATATTTTATATGAAGCACAATGTACCATGCTGTTATAATAACGTTATTTATCAGCCTTTGAAACTGAAACCATTTTGGGAGAGAAAATAAATAGATAATATTAATAATCATAATGTTTCATAAACGTGCAACGATTAGTCGACTTATATGATATGGCCCTAGTAATAACCTCTTTTTACGACATAAAAACTTTTGGGAAACTGGTAAAGGTGAAGTCAGTTATCTCTCCTTCTTTCTTCAATTATGGCAAAAAAGCCACACAAAAAAAAAGGAAGAAAATTAGAGAAATAGCAAGTTTGTGTTCTGGAAGTGTTTTGCCTCATCCTTTTTGGATCTCTCTAGGTATCTTTACATGTGTCTGTCATGTTAATCATTAGTTAGCTTGTCATCAAAGAGCTCTATTGATTTAGCTTGACATTGAGTTCTAGGAGCCTACCTTGTTTGCTCTGTCAGTACACACACTGACCATGATCAGGTTTAGGGCTAACCATAGCCACACAGAGAGGAGGATGACTGAACCCACTCGAAGCTACAGTCTACGCTGGAAGCCAGCATACAGAGTTGTTTACATATACACAGTATATCTGCACTGCTGTCAGTTTTAAGCTGATGGTAGTCTTTAAGAATCTGAACATTTTCTGATGAAAAGGTTGTGTTTCCTACAGAAAAACATGTAGTTCATTGTTCAAGCTTTTTTAGAAATGTATTTAAATATATGTTAAAGCATTACAGTTTAGTCGAGTAAAGTTTTACCTAAAGTTGTGGTTTCAGTTTAAATGCAAAGGCTGGTTGTTAAACTGTAAGAATGGAAACAGATTAAGGGTTTTCGGAGTAAGCCGTAATAGGAGTTGCAGTGTTATCTGAAGTGTCAACACTGAAATCTGTGTTAGGGCTGAAAGCAGTATGGTCAGGTTTAGTGTAAAGATGAGTGTCCTACTGTATGATGAGTCAGCTGAACTGGTTAAGGGATCTGAAGGGCCATTATTTGCAGACAACAGCTGAACTTCGGCTGACCATTTTGTTGATTATAAATAAAATGTAATGTATGATTGGCTAAGACGAGCAATTATATAATTTTTAAGTCAGCACCATTTTCCAGTTGCCTTCGTATTTCTTCGAAAGTTTGCTTTGTGGGAGAACCTGCTTTTGTACTTTATCAGGAACAATGCAAACAAGGTTATCAGATCTCTTGAGGGCAGAAAAAAAGCTTGTAGGTGTGTTGTAGCAATCCGCTAACCTACCTCTACCTTCCCAGGTAATTGTGGCTGGACTGGGTGTGACCCTAAAGAATGTCAAACAAAGAGAGAGTGGCTGGGAGCTTGTCATAACGGGGAAATAGAGGATTAACCCTCCGTGTTCATTTTCTACAGCAAACACTGCAGTCAGCTGGTGTGGAAACAACATCCCTTCCCTAACCTAGCAGTGACAGTGGAAAGGTGAGTCTCTGCTTTCCTTTGACCTTGGAGTGTGATTGCTGAACCCCCTGCTTGTTTTAGCTTGAATTTGAGTAATAGTTCCAAGTGGTTTTTTTCTCTATTTAGGTGTAAATGTATTAGAGGTTTGTTACAGGTCCAAGGCTGCCTGCAGCGGGACGGGAGGGAGGGAAGCGGGGGGTGTTAGTGAAATCAAGTGAAGTTTTCTTTCAAGCTCTGTGAGCTTTGTCATGGCTGAGTTGGGATGAATGAAGTCCCTGTTCTCAGAAAGATCAACGCTAAGTTCCTGTGAAATCCAACTTCTGTGGTCGGCACATTTTAAATGAAAAGCTTTCATTTGAGTTTAGCTGCAGGGATTAAGGATGTTTGAGAACTGTTATATAATTAATTGTTTGACAGTTTAAGGACCTGTATTGCTGGGTAACCTTTGTTGGGCTAGCAGCTATAAAAAGGTGGAAGGACAGGTAACTAGACTCGGAAAAATCTCCGATCTTGTAATTTGAAGCGCTGATCAAATAAAATCTTCTTTAGGTCTTTGAGGTTGTTTAAAGGTCTTACCCCTAGATTCCACCGGGTCCGTCTGCGGCGCGTTACGGGCGCGTTACGGCTGCGCCGCGGTGCTCACGGCGATCGCGGCCACTCTAGTCAATGGGTGTTATTCCACCACACGCGGCGCGTTACGGCTCAGAAGCGTCTCAGAAGCGGCTCGGCGCAGGGCTCCTCTAAAATTAGGATCGAATCCTATTTTTGTCGCGGCGCAGCCGTAACGTAAGGTCGGGCAGGCAGGAAGTGGAACCTTCAGAGCATATATAGCATATATATATAGATATATACACACACACAAACTAATTTTGCAGACCCTATCCCTCCGTAGTCTTTCAAGTAGGAGGAGAAATGCCAGCGTTCTCCTCCGGTTTACAGGCACTGTGTAAATTATATATATAGAATAATTATGATGATGAATGCATTTTTTTACCACTAAAATACAGCAACACATCTTTGATTCATGTCGTTTATAACTGGAATATTACAGTTATTATTAACTTTGTCTGTACAAAGTAGCCTGTCCAGGAAATATGCCCAAATCAACAAAAACTGCGAGCCGGCAGGCAAGATGCTCCGCTTCTGAAATGCTTCTGAAACGCGCCTGGTAGGGTATGACGCCGGAGGAGGCCGGACCAAAACCGCAACGCGGCGCAGACGGACCCGGTGGAATCTAGGGGTTAGTCTTCTTTTATGGTACTTAAATACTTCCTCTAAGTGTGACGGTACGTCCACACAGCAGCGTTAAAAAAATCTTGGAGGTGGGCGTATCTGAAGCTTGGGGATTTTTTGCGAGCAACGCGACCAACAACCAATCACATGAATCTCCCGCCCCCGACATACAAAGCAAAAAAGCCCGAAGTAAACTGGATATAAACTCCCCAAACAGGCGAAAACCTACCACTGTCTCTGCCACCTCCCTCCATGCCTGGCTCCTCCGGTTTGTATCCCGGTGGGTAAATAGGGACTGGTCATAAAGCACCGGGTGATTCCCTACCGCTATAATTAATTTCTCCTCCATTTTTTGGAATATGAGGAAATGAACACTATGTGTCACTCCTAGCTTACACGCGGTTTGATTGGCTAGCGCTTGAACTGTCAGATTTGCATAAACGGGATTTGATTGGCTGACGCTTCCACCTCAGCTTCAAAAGTTGAACATTGCTCAACTTTTGAATCCTGAGATGCCTGGAAATCTCCGCTCTGCTTCCCACAATGCAGTTCGGCGAAAAGTGAGGCAAAGTGACGTCACCCCATTCAAAGTGAATGGGCAGTAGAGATGGCAAATCCGGATCCTTTTACGGACTCAGGGTCTTCTGAGTCAGTCATTGAAGAGATCCGGATCATACGAGTCATTTGAGTCATACGAGTCAGCATCACCAAGACCGTAGAAATCCTATTGGTGAAACCGAAAAGTTGTTGCATTTCACGAGCATATTATTATTCCATATATTTTGAATATATATATATTTGTATATATATATATATATATATATATATATATATATATATATATTTGTATATATATATATGTAATATCTGCATGTATATTTTCTATTTCGACATGTATATTTTATATTTTATATTTTATTTTATTTTTCTTTCTATTCTTGTATATTTTGTAGTTTTGTTTTATTGTAAAATGCCTTATGCTGCTGTAACAACAACAATTTCCCAATTTGGGATCAATAAAGTACTATCTATCTATCTATCTATTAAACTGACGTTATATTAACCTCCGCTACACAGTGTATTTTGCTTTAATAAAAAATGTTGATCACAAAAAAAAGGGTTATTTTGCGATTTGGCAAATCTGAGTCTGCTGTTGACTCGTGCATGAGGACGAGTCTGCTGGATCTCTGGATCTGCTGCTATATACGGCTCCGAGTCCGCACGAGTCTGCTCTGCTGTGTGTTGCACAGTGAGTCAGGATTTGCGAATCTGAGTCTGCTGTTGACTCGTGCATGACGACGAGTCTGCTGGATCTCTGGATCTGCTGCTATATACGGCTCCGAGTCCGCACGAGTCTGCTCTGCTGTGTGTTGCACAGTGAGTCAGGATTTGCGAATCTGAGTCTGCTGTTGACTCGTGCATGACGACGAGTCTGCTGGATCTCTGGATCTGCTGCTATATGGTTACGGCTCCGAGTCCGCACGAGTCTGCTATGCTGTGTGTTGCAGCGAGTCAGGATTTGCGAATCTGCGAATCTCTGAGTCTGCTGTTGACTCGTGCATAATACAGCGCGGGAGCCGGGTGCTGGAGGAGGGGCTATGCTCGTGCACATGACGAGTATGGATCTCTGGATCTGCTATGCTATTACGGTTAGGAGCCGTCGGCTCCTCTGAGTCCCCACGAGTCTGCAGGAAGTTTCACTGATCCGCGTCCCCTCCCCTGAGCCAAACGATCACTTCTGGCAGGCAGCTATCCTGTATACTTGCTAAAGGGTAGGCAGATGGACTGGGGTACGTTGTAATGTGATTTTACATATTATAAAGAGAGTAGCGAGTGACGCAATTTATAGTTTTAATTTGTACGTCACACCAAGTGTGGGACTCAAGGACTCGGGTTAATGGAGAGGGGAGACTCGTCACGACCAGCTCATTTCTAGGATCCGGGTTAATGATCCGGATGAATCAGGTCTCGCCCATCTCTAATGGGCAGAAGCGTTGGAAGATTTTTTTAACGCTGTTGTGTGCACGGGCCGTAACTTTCAGCATGTGTCCTTCATTCCATACTAAACATATTTTACTTACTGTAACTCAGTTGTAATGGTTAGAGTCAACCAGACACAGAGTTGTCTTTATAAAGTAAAGGCTGAACATGACTGAGTTAAATCCAACAAACCCTCCATCAGGAGAGGTGGAAACTCCTTAGAAGTCTTTCAGTTTTATGACATGAAAAGCTTAAAGTATTGTCATATTGAATATAATGGGATATAGACTAGAGGGAGCTGTGTTGAGGTCAGGTGATTTTCAACATAAAAGGAAGCCATGACCCAAGTAGAATAATAATGTTCTCATTACCCCATCTATAATGATGCTTTTCAAAACATATCAGCCTGCATATCATATTGAATATATTGGATATAGTTTTCCCTTACTAACTTACAAGGAAGAAAATATATTTATATTTTTAAATGGTCAAGTATAATTCATATTTCAGTATTATTACTCGAGGAACAAATGTTGCTTTGCAGTAAGTCTTTAACTTCCTGGAATCCAACCTGGTGTTGGTCATTTTTGTACTGATATCTAGAGCATGTTTATGTTTGTGTCTTCTGTTCTGAGATGTTTCAACATTTAATCATTCTCAACTTGTCACATTCAGACACATGTACACTTTGATGCACTGGGCAGCCATACGCCTAAAATTATGACAGATCGCAATTTCAACACATGGTTAATGTTGGGTTATAAGAACAAGTTTCAATAGTACACGAGTTAAGTCCTCAACGTAAATAAGTCAGCGTTGACCTTTGGCTTCAATTGGGATCTGGACAGCGGTCTAGGGTGGGGGCTCTTTCCTAATATTGTCTGCATTGGAGTTGTTTAAAAGCCTCTACATCTCATACAGAATCTTAAGAATGCCTTGTCAATATCAGATGCAGCGAGCCTTGACAAAGGATCAGTAACTGGGGTTACGTACTGTAACCCAGCTTCTATGAGTATAGCCGCAGCCCTCTAAGGCTATCGCGATTGGGTAATCCCACTGCGCATGCGCAGCACTGACAGACTTAATCCACGCCCACCTATGACGTGGGCCCCACCTACGGCCTCACTTCCGTATAAATAGGAAGTAGGCCCGACAATCTGCTCCCACACAAACAGCTTTTCTTCAGCTTTTCGTGGAGCTAGTGGGGCCCGAACCTTAGAGGGCTGCGCCTATACTCATAGAAGCTGGGTTACAGTCAAGCGGCAAACTCTGGGGGAAGAGCCGGGACGCCAATGCGGAAGTGCCACAAACTGCAGTTCATATATTGGCCGATAGGCGCTGACTGCAGAAAGGAGCAATTTCCATAGAGCCCCATGTTAAAATGCCCAATTTCACAGCCTAAAAAAACATGTTTCTACCTATGGATCCAATAAATATTATTATGAATATAGTTAGATTCCACCTTCATGATTATGGATCTGTGAGTGAATTGTTTTCTAACACGACCCTTTTATTTATATTAGGTCTTAAAGTTTTTGCATAAATTAGGGCGTGGTCACATTGAGTGACAGCTCTGTCAGGTGACTGCTGCTGTTAGCTTTTTGTCTCTCTGCTAGCTGCTCCGTCCGTGAAGCTACAGGGACTCTGCCTGCCCAGTTCATCCAGGGAACACAACTTGATCCCGGCCGTGTTTGTTTGTTCTTCATGCTTATATATCGGACTATTGTGACTCGCTCTGCGGTTAAAACAGACGGTGCATGAATGCCGTTTTGCGGTAAGTGAAATTCGAGTACTTTATTTATGTGTTT